GGCATCTAGAGCATTTTCTGCTCAGGGAACTGGAGTCCAGGCTCTGGTCTAGAGTGGCTTTGTAGACGGAAAGAGTAACAACTCAAGGGCTATGGCACCAGCTTGACACTCAGGCTGGACACTCCTTCTGCCTCTTTTATGTGCTCCCTGCCCCATACCGGGGGATTAAACCCAGGGCCTTGCATCGAGCTACCTCTTGAGCCCTTTATTCATTTTTTATTTTGAGACACTGTGTCACCAAGTCACTAAATTGCCCAAGCTGGGCTCAAATTTGTGATCCTCCTGCCTCGGTCTCCCTACCCTTAGCCACCTCCCTGTCACAGTATGGGCGTCTCCCCAGAGGCACAAGCCCATTATGCTTCCCAAGTGCCACCATATCCGACTGGCTCTGAGGTTGGTACCACACTCAAGGCAGCTGAGGAGACCCCCAACTCCTGGGGTGGGCCCTGGGGTCCCTGGCAAAGGGGCCTTCCTGCCCTTTGGGAGCATCTTTTCAGATCTTAGGGAAGCCACCCAGAAGCCAAGTGCCTGAAACCTCTGCCAAGTTTCCCTTTTTGGTGCCCCGAGGAGCCAGCCTGTGCCAGGGGTTCCCATGGAAACGGAGCCTGAGAGCCCCCCTTCTTTGCATCATGCATGAAAGCCCTTGCATAGTCTCCCCACTCCCAGCTTTCAGATTCTGGGGGGAGAAAGCTGCCAGGAGCTGTGGATCCACTGAGAGAAGGGTGGCTGTTCCCAGAGGTGAAGGGACAGCCACCAAGTCCAGTGGACAGGACTTCAGGACACCCAGGGCCTCATACCATGTGAGGGGCTCTGCAGACCCTGAATCTCTGTCCCCAGCTGTACCCTGAAAAAAGGGAGAGCAGGCCCCACACAGCTGCCAGGTCAGGGCTACGGTCCTGGGAGCCCTTGGCCTCCCACAGCGGGGACAGCCACCTTCCCTGGCTGTCAGCAAGCTTCCGGAGCAGGGACATGGGAGCACCGAGGAAAGTGTCATTCTCCCATGCACAGGGAGGAGGAGACCCAGGAAGTTGAAGGAGCTGCCAGAGCCATAGGAAAGAGAGTGACAAAATGGTACATGGCTGTCCCTGCCAAAGTGGGCACTGTGGGTGAGAGGCATCTGGCCACTTACACACCCCGACCTCACCTGGGACACCTGCTGATCACAAGGCCCAGGGCAGGCCTGGCCCGACTCAGGGCGCAGCCCAAGGAGGCAGGACTAGGGCCACTTACCACAGGCCAGCCGCCCGCTGGGTGGCACCTGCTTGGCACACTCGCCCAAATGTGCTCCTCAGAGGCGCTTCCTTTGGAATTAACAAGCTGTGAAGATCAGGCCTATGACGACTGCCTGGTCCTGCTGGGTCACAGGCTCCTGGCCTCGGAAGCTCCCCCTGGCGGCCGCCCCAGTGCCACCCACCCCCTTCCACCCTTGGGCCTCTGTCCCAGGGCCCTCTCCAGGGCCCCAGGCTCTGGGCCCTTGGGGGACACAGGGAGAAGAAAGGGCCTGAGCAGGGCTCCCCTGTAGGCCTCCATGGCGGCTGTGCTGTGGGTGCCTGGGCATCCGCCAAGCTTCCGAGCAGGACTTGGCATTTTAGAAGGTTCTTTAGAGGTGCGTTGGACCCAAAAAAGGTGAAGGAAGGCCGGCTGCAAGAGGCTTTCATGGCTAAGCACGACCACTTCAGCCTGACGGGTCTCAGCTGCTTTCCTCCGAGGGCCAGAGCCAAGGGCGAGGAGTTTGGAGTGGAAAAGGGGGGCACAGCTTTGAGCCTGGCTCTGCCACTGCCACCCACAAGTCTTGGGGTCTTTGGGGTCTTCGGGGCCTTCCTCTATTCTGCTCCTGGTCTCCACTTCAGGTCCAAGCTCAGATCCCTCCTTCCCAGGCCCTCAGACCTGTATTTTCTCCTGAGGCCCTTTCTTTTGTTGGGAGAGAGTGAGAGAGAGACAGACAGACAGAAACAGAGACAGAGACAGACAGAGACAGAGAGACAGAGACCCCCTCCCCCACAAGCCACTGCCTGTGAGCAAGCCCTTCGGGTGGAGGTGGGTCTCACTGTATGCATGGATCCCTCCCCATACACATTCCAAAAATGTTTTGCTGTCCACCAAAGCCTCCATCTGGGTATCATAAACCTCCCAAGGTTCAGCGAGGTGGAGCTGGCGCAGCTGTGACACCGAAGCCACCTGTGGCAGCTTTCATGACACCTTCTACCAGCCTCAAGCTCCCTGGGCACCTGCTCCCCAGCCCACACACAGCCTCAGGGAAACCTCCCAGTGAGGGATGCTTCTCCACCAATGCTACACGACAGTCGGCTCAGCTCCAGACCGCCACCATCACGTCTCCAGACATCTCCCAGGCATCTGCTCAGCCTGGCTGTCAGGAGCCAGCTGCCTCGCGCAGGGCAGCTGGTCAGTTGAGCTGCTGTCTGGGGTGGCGGGGCTGAGAGCTCTGCCTCCTTCTCTTGTGGGCACCTCCAAGTGTCCTCTGAGTCTGGCCATTGCCAAGAGCCATCCACCGTGCCATCGGCTCTTTGGGGAACCAAGGACTCCTGACACCCAGCAACCAGCCCACAGTCTCTTGGCTGAGGTCTGTTCCCTCACTGAGTGACCTCCTGGAACTGGGCCCACGGGATTCCATGCCAGCTCCCCTTTGGGAGCCTCATCTCAGCCATCAGCCTTCCCTCCGCTCTGTCACCAAAGCAACCAGGTGTTTCCCCTCTAGACTTTGCAGGATCAGGGGTCCAAGGCACCTGTCAACAGGATTCCCCAGACTGCAGAGGGTCCAAGGGAGTTCTCAAAAAGCCCCCTTCCCTCTGGCTGGCAGTGAGGGGTGCCTCCCAGTTCACCTCCCCGAATGCCCTTCCTCTAAGTGTGTGAACCCCCAAATCTTGCATTAAAAGGCTGGCCAGCCTCCTGGGGAGCCCCTGGCATTCAGGCTGTAGGGGGGTAGGAGCGAGGGACACTGTCCAGTCACTGGAGCAGAGCACCAGGCTGGATCAGGGCATTCAGGTATGGCATGGACTGTCACTGTCCCAAGTGGACTCCTTTGGGTCAGCACTGCCCCTTCTACTCAGCCCACTCCAGAATCTGTGTGCCAGTTTTCTCAGGCAGGTGGCACTGGTACCTAGCTCCTCATTAACCCGTGTAAAGCACACTTCCTGGTTTATGCTGGTAGCTTAGTACATCAGCGTTAACTCATGCTGTCCTAGCCCCGCCATGTGCCCTCCCTGTGCACGCTGGAGCCACCCTGCCCACCCACCTGGGATCTCAGATGCCCTGGCCTAGGTGATGTTTTTGGCAGAATCTGCCACAGGACCTTGCACTGAGTGGCCAAGTGGTGCATCTGGCAGAACTCCCAGGTCCTCCAATCTGTCATCCCGCCTGCCACAGGGACATCAAGGACATCTGGTCAAGTCTCCTTGGAGACAGGGGCCCCCACCTGCATGCCCACGGGGAGTGGAGATTGGCAGCTCACTCAGGAGGAAACCTCTAGGGTCTGCATCCGACTTAGGTGACCTTGAGCCTGCCAGGCAAGTTCCAGCAACTCTATCAGCTCCACCTCGGTTCAGAGACTGTCGTGGTGACAGACAAGACTACGGCCACCCAGGGGGCTGCTGCCCATGAGAAGCAGTATTAGTGGACACAGATCTATTTCCCTCTGCGGCTGCTTCTATCTCTCTGTCCACTGCTGAATGCCACCCCCATCTCAGGATGACCAGCACTGACCGCAGTGCACTCCCAACAAAGCTCATTGGCAAAACCAGGCTTAGATGTGCCAGGCCAAGGTTTCTGGATATTAAACTCCCCAATTCATGGGAGGGACAGTAAAACCACTTTTTATGACCACTACTGATAATGGTGGACTAAGTAATTTGGATCAAATTCCCAGCTGAACACAACAGTAAAAGCTATTTAAGATAAGTATGTGTATACATGCGCACATCAGAACACGCTTCGAGCAGCATTTAATAAACAGAATATATATGTGTGTGTGTATAAAGTCAGGGAGCAAACAAACCAAGAAAAAGATCACAGAGCCAAGATCTGGGAAAAGAAGCCCATCCAGTGACTTGTGCCTGACATCTAGGGTGACTTTCTCTCTTGTGGCTTCTGCTGATCGTAATAGATATTGCAATGAAGCCGAGCAAAGTTTTTAATAAGCTCTGGGGCTAATCTCCAGGACCACCAAGAGAAAAGAGTGCCTGGCAAACCTGCCATGCTTTGGTTTAGGTCCAGGGGAAAGTGAATGTCCTGGAAGTAAATCGGCCCTCAGAGGCTCTGTGAGATAAGCTCAGGCCCTGCAAGTGTGTTAAACTGGCCCTGCTTTGCTAGGTTCCAAGTCACGGGCAAGAAGTAAACACAGTCCTTATGGAGAAAGAGAACTTTCTTCCCTCTGATAAGTTTTAGATGCAATGATTTCCCAAATGCAATCTGTAGGGAGCCGATGAAACTAGATTGATCACGTGTAGGGCTAAAGCAAGACCACCCCTGAAAACACCGAGCTCAAAACAAGCCACTTAAACAAGGTGTTCCAGCACCAAGAAGGCAAGGGGCCCAGGCCAGCCAGGCAAACAAGTTGCTAGGCAGTGGGGTTGAAATTGATGTTCTTGTGGGAGTATAGCACTAGGTCGGTTGAGCAGTTCCTTTCCTCCCATCAGGAGGGTAAGGGCTCCACCTGGCCCCAGCTTTGTCTCTTCTTTATTTTCTCATCCCTCCAAGTCTTTCACTCCAAGAACCTCAAGAGCCACTTGGGTTGAGGCAGCAATCAAAACCACCCAGGGAATGACAGCTGCTAGATACAGGCTCATGGGGGCTCAAGGGGGATCTCTGAACTTTAAAATAGCTACACTGCAGGGTGTGTAGCTCAGTGGTAGAGAGCTTGCCTAGCATGTAAGAGGGCCTGGTCCCAGTGCCCTGCACCATAAGAAAACAAGATAAAATGCTATGCTTCATATGCTCAGATATATAAAAAAATAAGATAGGCAATTCAGAGAGAGAACTCAACATATTTTTAAATTATTTCTATTTCATTTGTTTTGATCTCATCAATTGCATTTTAGTATACAGGGTGCCACCACTTCTGCTTAAGCTGACAAATGAGTAACAAGCAAACCACACCAACCAACCACCCTCCGGGTAAAACCTGAAAGTGGCCCTTGTGCAACCTTCAAGGGTGCCTCACGTCCTGCCCACACCACCCTAATTTCCAGCAGCAGTGTTGCTGGTTTATAAAATACATTGAGATCCCCCGCTCCAACATTCAGCAGAACAGCATCTTCAAGGGCTATGGCTTTGGACAGGGGCCACTTCCCCTTTCTCTTGCGCCTGCCTGGACCCTAGTTCTGCCTTGCCCGGTGCGGTCACGCACAGAATAGCAGCTTCTGTCTATTCGCTGCACCTTTGTCCCGTGCCAAGGGCTTCTCACTTGTCATATTTCATTTTCACAGCCCGACAACGCTGAGGCTCTGATTCTTCTATCTTATAAAAGGAGAGGCTAGGTTTAGGGGTCCTGGGTAATATATTTAAGGCGCCTGGCAAGCAGCATCAGAGGCAGGCCATGAACCCAAGTCTGCCCCCTCCTTCTTAGCCCCATGCTGACTGTCATCTACAGGTTGCTGGGGGAGTCCCTGGATCCCTGAAAACATGCATTCAACACCAGCTGTGTACAGAGCCCTAGTCTTAGAGAGCTGGCTTGAAGGACCCCAGAATAAAGCCTAGGAAAGTGACGAGGTGCTACCTTGTGGGGAGCCCAGGGTGTGGCCCCAGTGTAGCCCAGGTTCCAGTCCCTTTTTGGGAACCAGTGCTCAGAGAGGACCTGATGACAGCACTACTATTTGTAACTTGGGGTGCAGGTAAGCCCTCAGACAGTCCCCCACACCACTGGAGGACAGTAAGTCCAGGGTGGAGCCTGCGGAACAGCCAGAGTACTGGGGGCATCAGAGGGCTGTGGCCATGAGGCAGATACCAAATCCAGCCCAGTCCAGGACCATGCCTGCTTGGTAGGTTTATCTGGTGAGCTGGTTGGGCAGGAGGAAGGGGACTCGGAAAAAGAGCTTCCTTAAAGGGAGGAAGGAAAGGGTTGGGGAGAAGCTACGAGGGAAGTTGAGGCAGATGGAAGGCTAGACAGGAACAAGGAGCACAAAGCAAAGAGCTTAGAAGGGAGCAGAGGGAGGGCTGTGCAGGAGGAGGGCTGACGGAGACAGAGTGGGGTTGGGCCGGCACAAGGATGGAGAAGGGGCTCCAGCAGGCAGAGAACAGACTCCTCCTGGTGCTAGTACAGGGCAGCAAGGAGGAAAAAGGTGAGACACCTACTGTTATGGTTTGTGTCTAGATGTCCCCCTAAAACCTCATGCTGTCATGATGGGGCTGCTTTTCAGAAATGGCTGAATCTAGAATTTGTGATTGATTCATTGTCTAGGGGTGTGAGTGCCTGCATACAATATAAGGGACAAAAACAGCCTTCTCTCTAGCTGGGGATTTAGACCAGTGGCAGAAGCACCTTCCTTGCAAGTGCTTGGTCATGAGTTCAATCCCCGGTACCAAAAGAAAAAAAAGTTCACTGTCCTCCTCCTGTTTTTGCTCTGGTTGCTTTTTCTGTCTTCTGCCACCATGAACTGTTGTTGCCTTGCCATTTGCTATCCTGTCTTAGAGCCAGCTGGTTAGGTACTGAAATCTCCACAAACTGTAAGCTAAATAAAGTTCTCCTTCCTTAATTTTGTCTCAGCAACCAGAGAAAAGTAACTAAGACATCTGGGGAAACTGTTGGCCTGAAGCTCAGCAGAAGTGAGAATGAATGAAGGGGATTATGAGCAGAGAGGGTGGAAAGGAAACGGAAGGAGGGATCAGCTGGACTGGGGAACAGTATGGGCCGGAGGCCCAGCTTGGGCTCCGTGACAAGGCTTCTGAAGTCCTCTGGTCTCGACCGAGTGGAGGGCACAGGCAGCCCCAGGGTTCATCTCACCTAGCTGTGGATTAAGAATGGGACAGGGTTTGGCCTGTCAGTCTCGCTACTGGATGGGCCGCACCCAGGTGATCCTTTCTGTCTCTTGGGCCCAAGACCCCAGATCCCAGCCTGTTCCTCCCCAATGCCTCAATTTCCAGCCCTGAGGCATTGTGGGTAGGGAGTGGACTCACCCATGGGTCCTACAGCTTCAGGGAGGTGACCCGGGGGATGCGGAAGAGCTGGGTCTCCTCAGAGCTGGTGGAGCTGAAGCATCGCAGAATAAAGATGAGGCCCCAGCATGGACCTCAGCCCAGCTCAGGGACATACCGAGGGGAGGAGTCTGGGAAACTGTGCTCGGCAGATGTGGGGTGGCAAGGAGACAGAGCAGACATAGGGACAATTTCCAGGTCTCAGCCAGAGACCTTCTCTACCGGGGAAGTTTCAGAACAGGGTATGGGACCTGGTGGCTGCATGGACTCATTCCTGGGCTCCTGATGTCCCTCTTGGTCCTAGCAACCCCTCACCTAAGGCGCTTCCGGATAGGGCGGAAGTACTTGGAGGTCTTGACAGCAAAGATGATGCTGGGGATGAGGAAGAAGGTGCACCAGCCCAGGCAGAACCAGAAGGCATTCTGAAAGGCACATAAGGTCAGCACACCTGGCCAGACAGAGTCCCCTCCCCAGTCTGCCCTGTGCCTGCAGCCTCCACCTCAGACTCAGCATGGGGTGGAGAAGTGTCATCAGAGCCAAGGTCACTCACCCAGGGGTCAGCCATCATGTCACACAGGACCACACGGCCGTTGTCCAGGGCTGAAGAGAAGGGCTGACAGGTGGCAATGTGCTGGGTCACCTGTGGGGCCAACAGGAGGCAGGCATACATATGTGGGGACACTCAGGTGTGCACCCTAGATTCAGAGAGGTTGACAAAGACACAGCTAGGGGCCACTGCACTCTTGAACAGGCACATAAAGAGACACACGGGTACAGGCACACGGGGAGGGAACACATCTGGGCTCCTTATCTGCTCCTGCACCCCACATCCATTCACCCCATTTGAATGAGGGTTCTATTGTGTATCCCATGCACCAGAGAGGCAGCATGTATGTGTGCAAATGCATGTTGCGTTTCCAGTGTCCTCAGGCCCTTTGCACACATACTTGTACACACTCACAGACACTCTCAGGGCTAAGCCAGTCCCCTGTGAGCCTGGGGCACCAGGCTCTGTCAGTTTGCAGAGTGTGGTTAGCTGGGGTCCTCAGGAGAACACAAGCTGGGCGGGGTATCAGCCCACAGAAAGGGCTGGGGACAAAGTATGGATGGCCCGTGTTCCAGAGAGCCATGTGCAACCCAGCTCACACTCGAGCCTCAGGCAGCAGCTGGGCAGGGATGAGGCACAGATGGGAGTTTGGGTTCAATCCCCAAGGCCTGGGCACCCCTGGGTCCCCGGGAGCAGATAGGGCAGAGCAGGGTGACCAGCTGACCCACGTGGTGGTAATCCATCACTGCCCTGAGACCAGGCAGGGTCTGAGCTCCTCTCACCTCCTCTTTTACCCAGGCCACGTACTGGGAGAAGTAGCCCATCTCCCGGGTCAGGAAACACTCGCTTGCCTGCAGAAGAGGAGATCAGAGCTGGCAGAGGTCCCAGCAGCCCCCTCCACCACCCCATGCCTGATGCCATTGACCAGGCTGCCTTTTGGGACTCACTGTGAGGGAGCAGCTGGAGAAGCCTGTGGCAGAGGCCCCGTGCCCCTCTGGTTCTGTATCAGTCCCTGCCTCCCCCACCCTGCTCACATTCTGAAGGATGTGGTTGGTCAGTGCTGGCAGTTCTGTTTTTAGATAGGTGACATTGCCTAGGATCACTGAGGTCTCCCGCTGCAAGTGACAAGAACCCTAGCTCAGTGTCTTGCTCAGGAAGCAGTCACTCATTTATCTACCCATCCATGCATCCTTCACCCATCCATCTACCCATCATCCACCTATCCATCCATCATCCATCCTCCATCTATCTATCATCCATCCTTCATCTACCCATCATTCATCCATCTTCTTATCCATCCATCATCCATCTATTCATCCATCCATCATCTATTTATCCACCCATCATTCATCAGGTTCATCCATCATCCATCTATTCACCCATTCACTCATCCATCCATCCATCCATCCATCCATCCATCCATCCACATAGGCATCCATCCATGCATACATTCATCCATCATCCATCCATACATCCATCCATACACATAGGCATCCATCCATGCATACATCCATCCACCATCCATCCATACATCCATACAGCATACGACACACACCTAGAACTACAGATCCATGGTTTTCAAGGATCTTCCCACCCATCTCCACCTCCTTCCCATCCCCACCCTCAATCTCCGGTGGGATGGGGCACAGACTATGTGGTCCATAGCCAGCTGGCTCCCCAGTTCCTTTCTCCCTCTGCTGCCCACCTCAGCAGCTACCTTGTTCTACTTCACTGCCCCCAACTCAGCAGCTACCTGGAGGTTTGGAGCAGAGGACTCTAGGGCCCTGACGCTGCGGTTGAGCTTGACCTATGAGGAGAGATTTGGGCTACTTAGGGGGAGGAATAGAGAGGGGGGGGGGGAGTGCAGCACCTCCCCCTTCTCTCTCCTCTCCCGCAGGCCACAGGCTCCCTGAGCACCACACTTACCACCAGGTTCTGCTGGGGGATGACCTCCTCCTGGGAGAGCATTCTGAGCCTTTGGGCCTCCTCCTGCAGCTGCCGCCCCAGCACAGAGTTGCCCTGAGGGCGGACAGAGATCAGATGGCTCCGCTCCGACAGGCAGAACTTTTCCAGGGGAACCTGGACCCCACCTTTTGGTTGCACATTGAAAGTGCTAGAATTGAAGCCTCCTTAGGCTTCGACCCAAGCCCTGTCTCTCATAGGGTCTCTGAGATGCCTCAACAAGAACTTTCCCCTGTGGGACAGCTGTCCTATCTCATCGTCACAATGCAGATTCCATACCTGGTGGGCACTGCTTGCCCAGCTGCGTGACATCAGACCAGTCCCTTGAGCTGATCTGAGATGGAGGAGAGTCTACTTTACAGATGACAAAACAGAAGCCCAGAGATGCTCAGGGACTCACCCAAGGCAGCCCAGCAAGCTGGTGGCAGGTCTTGAATCAGACAAAGTTGTGGCAAAACCCTCAAGCACAGTGGAGGAGGTTCTGGAGTCTGAGCCCTCACTGTCGGGGGCTCTGACCCCTGCTTCTGCCCTCGGCACCCCCCAGCTCCAGCTTCCCACCCCACCTGCCTCCAGCTCCATCTGACTGCTGCCCGCCCTGTGGGGCCCCTGCTCTTCCTCACCTGACTCTGGGCTAGTCCCGCCAGCTCCTGGGCCAGCTGCTCCATGTCGGTCTTTACCACGGGCTTCTGGATCTGTGGGTGGATGGGAAAGGTTGGCAGGGTTGCACCTTGGCCTCCGAATTCCCACTCTTTCCAGACACATCCTGCACCAACTAAGTCACAGCAGTCACGGTGGATTTGACCTGGAGCCACCAAACAGTTCAGACATCTTCTAAAACAGAGACCCAAAGATAGGCGCCCTCTGGTGTGGAGCAGGGAAGAGGTGCTTCCCACCAGGGTGCCCGGCAACAGTGGGTTCAGGACCACAAACAGCGACGCGGACTGCTGGGTCAGGGGCCCAGGGCAGTAGAACTGTGGTCTGCTACACTTCGGATGGGAAGAGGTCCCAGGAGGGAACATCTAGCACTGGGAGGAGGCAAGGCTCATGCCCAGCTCCTCTGTGCGGTTCCCCTCCTGCCCAGGCAGGTGGCCGGGGTCCCTCTGCTGACCTGGATGAGGAAGTGGTGGTAGCTGACTTTCTCCAACCCACTCTTCTGCAGTTTTTCCAGGTCCCGGTGGGCCTCTGGGCTCAGCAAGTCAGGGCTCTCCATGTTCACTCTGAAGTCCTGCAAGTCCCGCTGCAGCTTCTTGGTGTACTGGGAGGCGGGGGAAACAGGAAGGGCTGTTGATCTAACAAAGCCCAGAGATACTTTCCTAGGTAAGGGGTCCGCTCCCTGCCCTGGACACGCCACACCCTGGAAGCTTCCCAGCTGGCTTCTGCTCCTAGAGTCACCACCCCTAGGGCCCAGTCTTCCTCCAGCACCTGTCTGGTTTCTGGCCTGCCATCCAGATCCATCCAGGCCACCTGATATAAAGCCGCTCTCCTGGCTTCCCTGCATAACACCCTTGTAAGAAGGTCTTCCTAGTACTTCCCAGGCAGGGCCCTGGAGTGTTCGGTCCCAACCTCAGTTGTCCACCCATTAATCACCATCAGCGCCGTGCCACTGCAACCACACCTGCCTATTCTGCCCCAGCCCGCAGCATTTAGAGGAGGCTCGTGTGACGGTTTGTGAATGGATAGATGGATGGATGAATGAACAAATGAACAGATGTGATCCTATTTCCAGGGAAGACCCCTGGCATTCTCCTACCACTGCTGCAGATTTAGGGGACATGAAATTCAGCCCTGGTGTCTCACGGATGAGAATCTAAGACCAGAGAGGCGCATTTGCTTGCCAGAGGATGCACAGCAAGTTACCTCACCTCTCCCCATCCCACCATGCTGCTTTCTCTGGGGGCAGAAAAGCCCCAACCTACCACAGGCAGAGTCTTTCTTAGAGCAGCATTTTAGGCCTCAGTGTGAGGTGTGGCAGATGTGCGAGGTGAGGGGGGCAGTGCGGCCCAGTGGCTGCTAAAACACTCCACTTACTGATTGGTGCACATTTGGTTTGTTGCTATGTCCACTGGGGACAGGAATCCTTAAGGTCACACTTGAAAAGTCACCAGATGGCCTCTGAGGACCGCCTGGCCCTGCTGAAGCTGGCACCTTACCTGTCCAGTTTTCTCTGAGAGCCTGGCCCCTCCCAGGCCCCCTTGCCTGAGAGCCATGACTCCCAGGGGACAGGGCATGAAGTCTGCTGTGCCCAGGAACCTGCTGCAGCCTTTCCTGGCCAGGCTTCCCCGCCCACGTGGCTGTGCTGGGGCAGCGTGGGGACACTGCCTGCCCCGGCGGCCTCTGGACAGCTGCCGAAGCTGGAGGAGTGGGCAGTGAGGCATAGGCTACCCTCGGGGCGGAGGTGGTGGCTGCTCCAAGAGGAGTGGGCAGGTTTCTCTGGATGAGCAGAAGCAGACAGTGGCCCCTGGGTGGCAGGAGGAACGCAGGCATGGGTGTGGGCTTTCCCAGGACAGGACTGGAAGTGGCTCCCACTTCACAGAGATGTGGTGAGAGGAGAGGAGGGGATGTCTGGCAGCATCTGTAGGCGTCCTCAAAGCATAGCCCCCTGTGAGGGAGCCCTCCCTTGTTCTACAATCTTCTCTGCATTGAGGCCTAAACTCCATTCTCCAGCCTGCCCTGCAGACAAACACCCCAAGTCCTAGTGGGCACAGGGAGAGTTCTGGGGTGCTGGGGGTAGGGATCTCCACATCTCTGCCCCCTCCTGGCTGCAAGAGCTTAGAGAGGTCCTGGTGAGCTCCGTGTGCCCGTCCAGCCTGTCCAGCTGGAACTCACTGGCCAGCGCCTGCCCTCAATCAGGACACAGCCCAGTCACTTACTCACTGTCACCTTGTTGCAGCTTAGCTGACCCTGGAGACAGGGCCAAGGCCTCCAGGCACTTACCACCAGAACCTTCCTGCTGCAGTCTGGGCTCTGCCCTGAAGCGCCTCCATCCATTCCAGAGCAGAGAATGGAGCTCTAACAGTACAGCCTCATGGCTTCCAGAATGTTCTCTTACCTGGCTGATGTTCAGGTGCTTGTCCAGGTTGTAAGAGTCGTTGAGCTGTAGGACCTCCCAGAGCGCGGCCCCTTCCTTGCACTGCCTGGAGAGAAGGGAGGAGCACAGGGTGGCAGGGGTGGCTGATCTCACCCTAAGGGGACGTCCACCTCTGTCCCCCCCCAGGCCACCCACCTCTGGACAGGCTGCCCACTCACTGGTAGGCCAGGAGGAGGCTGATATTCTTCCTCAGGCCGAGGAGGTAAGATAGGTTCATGGAGGGGTGCAGGTTCCCAGGGGTGTCTGCAAACTGGAGGTGGGGCAGGAGCCATGGGCCATAATGCAGGGTGAGGATGAGGCTGCCCCAGCTTTCCCAAGGCCTGGTGCTGCCCTGGCAGAGCAGGGACACAGTACCTCCGACCCACAGAACTCAATTGCCCTGGCCCTACCTCCTCATGGGGACAGATGGCCAGCCTGACCCCAGGGAGAAGCCATTTCAGGGGGGGTCAGGGCTCCCGGTCCCAAGACTTAGGGACAGGAGAACTAAGCACGTAGGAGTGACCACTCGGGCTCCCGTCCAAGGCCGGGGCAGCACCAAGGGCTAACAGCTTCTCTCTCTGTCCCTCTCTCCGAAATGTCCGCTATGCCTCCTCCCCCACACCCTCTACTCTGCCCACGGCTCTCTGCACCTCCCTGCAGGATCCAGCCGGGACAGGCCACCTCAGGGACATCCCCACCTCGTAGAGCTCCCCGCTCTCCCAGCTCTGGCACACCAGCGTCTGCATGTTGCCGCCTACCAGGAAGGTGGCAAAGACCAGGAGGATGAGGGGTGCAGCGAAGACGAAGCTGAAGCCCACGCCCCTGGGGGAAGAGGTGGGGTGAGGTGAGGGAGACTGGCTGAGGTGAGCTCTGTCCACATGTGCACCCTGGAACTGGCCTGGGAGCCGGAGGCTGAGCTTTAGAGCAGCGCTTCGTGGGAAGAGGAGCTCAGAGAACTGGATCCCTCAGGGGGAAGGGGACTCAGAACCCCTAACTGTCCCCTCCTCACCCTTACCCACGGCTGGGGCTCTGTAGCCGAGGAGGGGACGGCTGTTTTGTTTGGAGAGCCAAACCCGCCTACTGTTGCCCAGGGAGACGACCTTCAAAAGGTGACCATGCACCACCGAGTATGACCCACTCGGAGCCATTCTCAGCAGGGCTGGGGAGCAGGGACCTCTAGACTGGGTGCCACGGACTTGTGGAGGCCCCCTGTGAGGTGGCACAGCCCAGCGCCAGGCCATGAGGATCAGAGCATGAAACGTGGGGTGCATTTCAGCCCCTGCTTGCTCTTTTGGCCAGGACCCTTGTAGAATGGAAAACCGCACGTCTGCATGAAGCAGCCTTGGCTCAGAGACCATCTAGTCCAGGGATGGCAGCAGAGCCCAGCTTGGCTGCTGGCGCCTGCTGCCACTGATGCCGTCTGGAAGCTGGGGATCCTGAGGCCATGCTCGGTTCAGTGGGAAGCATGTCCATTTGGTTCTGCCGTCTTCCCAGGTGTGCATAGGGTGGGGGGAATAACCAGTGCAACCCTCTTGTACAGATGGGGAAACTGAGGCCAGATGGGTGGCCAGATTTGCTCAGGGCCATCAGGGAGTAGGAGTCAGGCTGCCCTGAAGCTCGGCCTCCTGTCTCCCAGGGCTCTGCTGCCGTCCTTCCCCGGGAGCAAGAGGGACCCTTCCCCTGATCGCCCCTTCTTACACCATGAGGAAGCGGGCTCCCGCCTCGCCTTTGGCGTCCCAGTGGCTGGGGTCCTCCCTGGCTGATAGCCCCAGGATGCCCAGGCAGAGGCCCACCAGGTTGCAGACCACCACGAGGAGCGCTGTGGAGCACAGCACACAGCCCACGATCCACCTGCAGAGAGGGCAGGACTGGAGAAGGGCGGGTGGGGAGGCTTCCTGGGGCCTCGCTGCTCGGAGGGTCCCCCGGGCTCAGGTCCTGAGGGCGCACACAGGTGGGCACAGAGGCCCGAGGAGCCAAAGGTCTTGGCTGAGCAGGAGGCAGAAGCAGAGAGGCTTGGTCCCACCCGACCCCTGGCTCCCTCCGGGCACCTGTATGTCTCATAGCGCTGCACGTCCCGCAGGTAGGGGCGGCTGCGCACTTCCAGCTCCTCCAGCGCTCGGCTCCAGTGCGCAGCCGCCTTGGAGCCCGGGAAGCTGCTGGCCAGCGTCCTCATGCCTTTGGGCTGCTGGGCCACTGCCTTTTTCAGATCTGCCCAAACCACAGAGGCTTAGAGCACTTGGGGACCACCCACGGAAGGCCCATCCCAAGAGGACAGCCTTCCCGGGGTGGCACAGCCGGGGGCCACTGGCCCCATCGGCCTGGAGCTGGCATCTGGCCACACTCACCTTCGACCACGCTGGCCGTCTGCATGGCAACCAGGAGCGGGAGGCTGCGAAGGGTGCTGTTCTCCTGCAGGACAGAAGGCAGCTTGGCCTCCTGCTCTGGGCCTGTGTCCCAGCATGGGGACCCCGGGGCCCAGAGGTCCCGGGGCACTCCCCAGTGCCCCAGCGATACTAAATCTTATGCATACACGTTTGTTATGCATAATTACATTTGTTTAAAATACACTTAATCATGAGGATCCCTTCCCCTCTCCATCCTCTCATCTCCTTCCTCCTCCACAAGGCCTCTGTTTCCTATCATCTCTCTTTTATTTGGCTCTAAATTATTTATATTTTGGGTTTCTCATATAAGAGAAACCATGCAATATTTAACCTTCTGTGTCTGATTTATTTCACTTTGATTAGAGCCTCAAGAGCCATCTCTTCTCTTGGCCTTGGCTTTTTTTTCCTCAGCCAATTTTGACACAACGCCTTAAAACCGTCTCCCCTCTCCCACCCACCCCGCAGGCCACTTCTTCTGCTCCAGCCTCCCAGCGGGGCTGATTCACGTTTCCCCTGCTCCCAGCCCTGGGTCACAGGTGCTGACTCACAGGACGTCTCCCCCCCCCCCCCCCCGCGCCCAGGGCTGCCCACCTGGGGGCTCTGCGGGCACTATTCCCTGGCTGTCCACAGTCCCTACTGCTGGGGGGGCCCCTAGCACCTCCTTCTGAGCACCTCCCTGCCTCCCCCTTCACACCCCTGCTGCTTGCCAGAGAGGGGACAGAGAGAGGGGACAGAACCTTCGGCCTGGGGCACCAGGTGACAGGGATGATACCAAATCAAAGGTTCAACTGGATTCTGGCTCCAAAAGAGGAAAACTGTGGTATCTCCACTGTGAGTTCCTAGGAGCCACGAGGGAGGGGCAGATGGGCAGATGGGCACTCACCTCCTGGACCATGCTGGAGAAATTGGTCTCCGGGACACCCTTCAGCTGGTACAGGATGTGGTCCACGGAGGGGACCTGAAATGTGCAAGGGCAAAGTTTACAAGAGGCCCCGCGAGGGACCCTGTGGCAGGAAAGGGGCGGATGGGCTGAAGCCTCAGTGGCCCCAGAAGGTGGGAGGACTCAGGAGCTAGCGCACGTGAAGCTCAAGCTGCTGCATCTGGGGCTCAGAGAGCTCCTGGCACCTTACCAGGGTCTGAGTCCCTGGCCCTCTAAGGGACAGCCTGAGGAAGGGGACTGGGCTGCAGATGGAGCGGCCCACCAGAGCCCCACGTGGCCTCTGCCCTGGGCCCACACCTGGACAAAGTCAGCGGCCAGCTCCAGGGTGCGGGTTCGGTTCAGGGTCCCCTCACAGTCTCCCTGACACCCGGGCTCCTGCAGCAGGGCGAGCAGGCGGTCCCTGTGCTCCCGCATGGCTGGCTCCAAGCGCTGCTGTCTCTCCCGCAGCTCCACCAGGGTGGCGTTCAAGGCATGGAGGTGATCCACGGTGACCTGCAGGGCTGAGAAACCCACACGTGGCCTGAGTAGTCTCCATGGCTCCCGGCATCCTCCCAGGGTCCTGCGGCAGCCTCACAACATGTGGGCAACTGAAGTCATCAGCCTCTAAGTCACAGTGGAAACTGCCCACGGCCAGCTGAGCCAGGAAGTGGCCAGGGATGCCTGAGGCTCAGAATCCTAGCATAAGGGGATGGAAAGTTTAGAGAGGGCTGAGGCTGGCAGAGCACACAAAATCCAGTGCTGAGGGAGAGCAGGCCGGTGGGGAAACCCCTGCTGGGCCCCGCCCTCACAGGCACAGGTCCAGCTCACCTTGGCCCAGGGTGTTCACAGAGGCCAGTACAGGGTAGATTACACTTCCAAGCTGTCTGTGCACGATGTTCCCGAGCCTCTCACCAACCCCTGGAGAGCACAGAGCGTATGCAGGGCTGGCCCCAGCAAGAGAGGACACCGCTGCCCACCCCTCCAGTCCTGCTCCCCAGGCCCCTGCTCCAGACTTGGTAGGGCAGGCTGTGGTCTCTCTGGCCTGTGCCTTATGCCCCCTCGGTTAAGGTTTCCAGAGTGGGGGGTCAAGACAAAGGAATGAGGGAGCCTCCCTGCAAGCCTGCGCAGGGTCATTGGGGCTAGTCAGCTGTAACCCTCACCATCCAGCTCCTTCAAAACTTGCTTCTGGGGCAGGGAGAATTGATCCGCCACGGCCTGCAGCTCCTAGGCAAACACAGGGGCGTGAGCTACTGTCCCCTGTCCTTCCTGCCTGAAGACAGTACAGGTTCTCATACATGGTTCAGCGACCTTCCAGCAGGGGGCAGCCATGTGCGCAGGCTGTGGACCACGGAGACGGGCTCTGCTCCGTCCAGCCTGGGCCTGGCACTCCCATGGTGTGTGGGGACAAGGCAGGGGCTCAGTGCTCACCTGGGGTACACTGGAGACCAGGCCCCGGAGGCCAAGCAGGGTCTCAGGCACGGCTTCCACATTGGGGCCCATCTGCTCATGTGTGCGCTGGTTGGTGACAAAAGCACAGACCACACCAATCCTGTCATGAGCAAGGCGAGGGGGAAGCAGCTTGCAGGGTGCCCGGGGAGCCCTGGAGGCCAGCAGGGCCCAGCCCTCCTGCCTGGCCCCTTACAGCAGCACGAGGGTGGTAAGCAACAGGAAGGCCATGAGCGTGCCACGCTCGCAGGCCATGGCCTTGTGCTCCGTCTTCACTCGGCCTCCGCAGCGTTGGTGGCAGCGACAACAGCAGAAGCACAAGCCGGTGGTGGGCACCGCCAGGAGGTAGAGGCCCGCGATCACAGCACACACCACATAGCCCGCTTCGTACCGAACCACCTGGTGGGGAGCAGGGTGTGAGGGGTCTCTGTGTCCCCCTAGGCCTCCCCGTGCTGGCCTTGAGTCCAGAGGAAATCAGAAGGGGATGAGGACAAACATGGAGGGCCCTGCTTTGCACCTTGGGGACCCACAAGAGAGGTGCATGGTGTCCTTGCAAATTACCATCTTGAGACTAAAGTTCAGAGGGTCTGGGGCCCTTGTGAAGCCCACTGCCCACAGGCTGCAGGGTGGTGGTTTGAGCCCAGGAGAGAAGAGAAAGGATGCCGCGGAGCCCCCCCACCCTGCAAACCCCAGCAGGGTAGGCAGAGCTAGCCGCGTGGGAGCCGGTTCGGACCCTCACATCCCTCGCCCTCTCCAGTCTCACCTCCTCCACCTTCACCGAGGACGGTTCATTCAGCAGGGCTTTTACCAACTCTACAGGAAAGAGCAGGGCTGAGGTGTGGGCACCACCACCAGCCTGCCCGTGGCCACCCGTCCTCTCTGCCAGGCCAAGGGAGACTTGGTCAAGGTCACACGGGAAGGTTCTGAGGCTGCCCCAGCAGCCCGAGACTTTGGGAAGGAGGAAGGAGGAAGGCGGTGGGGATGCCCGGGCACCTACCCTCCAGGTGCCCGTGGACGGGATGGAGCAGGGCAGGGTGGGCTGGGCACCGGCCGGGGGAGGCGCACACTCACCTGAAGGAAAAGGGTTGAGCTGCACCAGGGCGAGGAAGCCTTGCACGGCGCCATAGAGCGGGTCCAGGGGTCCTGGCGGGCGCACGAGAGGCGCCAGCCACCGCGTCCTGGCGGCGGGAGCGAACGCCAGGCGCTGCGCCTGCCCCAGGGACCCGCAGTCGCTGGCCTCCGGCAGCCTCAGGCCCAGGCCCAGGCCCAGGCCCAGGCCCAGCAGGGGCGCCAGGAGGCCGGGTGCGTGCCTCATGGGGTCGGGCGGGTGGGCAGGACGGGTGCAGTCGGCGGCCGAGGGAGTGGGCGAGCCCGGGGCAGGCCGTGCATCCTTCGCAGCCTTCTTCCCTCTGTCCTTGCCGCTCTCCAAACCGGCCCGACGGGTTTGGGCTCCCGAGCTACCTGGGCGCCCGCCCGCCCCGCCGGGAGTATAGGAAAGGCAGGGGCGGAGGCCTGGGGTAGGGGGCTGGGCCTGAGCTGGACGCCCTTGACAGTCCGGGTGGAAGCTGGGGCTCCCTGGCCCCTCCCCCAGACCCCGGACCAGGGTGCCTCCAGCGGCTGGGCCCAAGAAAGGCCTGGGCACCTCTGGAGTGTGAGGGTGGCCCAATTTTCTGGGCTCAACCCCTGCCACTTAGTGAAGTCCTGGCCCAAAGGGTCTTAGGAGCAGGCACATGGCCGGGCACCCCTTCCCTGCTCCTGCTGGGCCCTGATGTGTCCCCGTGGGCATGCCAGGTGACCACTGCCAGTCCAGTGCAGAGTAGCCCCAACAGGTGTGGTCTCTGGGGAGAGTGAATCCCGGGGAGGTGTGCCTTCTGTCCCAGCCTTGCCCCTTCCAGCTACTAGGTGAGAGAAGCCAGGCATTCTCCCAGGATGTGTCTCTACAGGTCTGTTTTGTAGGGCTCTATGCCCAGTACCCCAGAGGTTGCCCATAGCCAAACAGACCATGGGGAGATACTGCTGAACAGCTGGAGGGCACCATTGAGGAAAATGATGTAAAAATGCCTCTTTGGACCTGGAGGGTACCCCAGCGCATGGCTAAGGAGACCACAGCATCAACACGGATGGCCTAAAACAGAGATCAAACCCAAGCAGCAGAAAGGATGATTTTCAATTCTCCTTGGCTCATTTGTGTGTTAGATTTGTGTTCGTTGTGTTTAAAGAAAAAATAGGAGTTTGTGGCTTTCCGTGGCCATTCCCTCCTCCCCTGCATGGGAAGTTTGAGTGGACAGACTGGCTTGGTGGTTCTAGGGACCCTGCAAGCCCACCAAGGCTGGGGGAGTGTTGAGTGCTGGTAAAGGGAGTGTAGGTGAGAGGCGCGGGGATTAAGGGGTGTCTGAGGTGAGGGCACCTCAGTTTGAGCCCTGAAGTCCTTACCTTTCCTTCTCAGCTTTCTCAGAGCAATGCATAGTCATTGAAGGCATGATCCCGTTAATAATGGGGTGCAGATGGGAAATGGGACCTCATCAAAGAGTGACTCAGAGATGAAGATCAGGATTTGCAGTGAAGAATGGGCCATGGTGCCCTGGCACCCCATCCCGTAGAAACAGTGGGTCAGCAGAGTCCTCTGGAGGCCCAACACCTGCTCGTGCTGCCTGTGATTACAGGCTGTGTCCTCGAGGTCCCCACCTTAACGCCTGAGACCCTGGGGGCTGTGGTTAGGAAGGGCTGGTCTGTCTAGGGCTGGCCAGTTCTGGTCTCCTTCCCGCTCCGGTTCCAGCTGTTACAGAGAATGACTCCCCAGAGGTCACAGTCTAACTTTAGCCCTGTCACCCGCAGGATAGAAATAGCCCTTGTCGAGTTGATAGAATTCACCTATTGGCTCATTAGTAACTGCCACTGGGCCTTCTGTATCTTCCAACATGGGTCCCTCTTGGTATTGGATTTGGGTCCCAGTTCCAGGAGGCGACTGAAGTCTTTGGGGACCTGGAAATAAGCAGGTCCTTTCTTCACTATGCATTCCCTCTTCTCAATTATCATAATTAACCCAGTCGCTGATGACTGCTATTGTTTTTGTAAGTGTCTACATAAAAGTCTTCACTTGAAAGGGAAGGCTTCCCCAAGGAAAAACAAAAACATACCAAGCCTCTTCCTCAGCCTGCGGTGCTAAGGGTGGTGAGGATACTAAACTGGCCTGTTTGTCAGGTGGAGAAATTGAGGCATGGAAAAAGGCTCTTTCTGAGTCAGTATCCAGGCCAGGAGCCAAAGCTCCCATCTCCTTCCTGATCGGGTTCTTGATGGAACCATCTGTCAGTCCTGGGCTCCTAATGTCTCCAGCTCCCCCTGCAGAGAGCAGATGGAGTTCGGAACACAGCAGCAGCGCAGCAGCTTCTATAACTGAATACTTACATCAGCCTCCCGTTGGGCACAAGCGTCTAATACAAAGCCTGTTTTATACCGAAGTGTTGCATGTCTCGTGCCACTTAATCGGTTTTATACAGAAAGTGAAAGACACAATGGCTTTACAGGCACAATTTTACACCAGCGTAAACTACAAAACTGTGACATCGAGGGCTGTGTGTATCTTTAAAGACAAGACATTTTCTTGTGAGCAGAGCCCAAGGGTGAATGAAATGAAGAATCCTAGGAGTCGGGCCTGGAGGCTCAAATGTGTAATCCTAGCTTACTGACAGGAGTCCACCCTGGGCACCTTAGTGACTTAAAAAGACGCTGTCTCAGAATAAAAAGTCACACGGTGCTGAGGAGTCAGTGGCAGAGTCCCCCAAACTAAATTCAGTGTAAACTGTGGGTGAGCCTGGCGTGGAAGGGACGGGCGGGGTGGGGCAGGAAGGGAGGAGGCACTGTGGCAGACAGCCTGACCCTGGCCCGCAGGAAGCATGCCACAGGCCCACAAGAGAGGCCACAAGAAGTGAGTGAGGGCCAGTGAAGGGTCTGAGGATCTCTGCGACAGAGACTGCAGGCCAGGGGTGGCTTCAAGGTGGCCACTGGGCATGTGCTGCAAAGTGGCAGTGGGCTGGGATGTTGGGCAGCTGTGTTGGATGTGGCCAATCAGAAAGGACAGAGACCATGGGCAGAGATGGTGGCATTCAGGTTCTCCATGGTGGGATGAGCTCCTAGAAGCAGCAGCCTGGTACTCAGTTAGATAAAAATGTTCTAGGTAGTGAGACAGGGCTGGGTCCTCGAAGGAGCCAGTGCTGAAGCCCAGATACCTTGCAACTGTGGGGGAGACAGACACCTCCTGCTGTGCGCCAGGCCTCCAGATGAAAGATCAAGCAAATGCAGCCACACCCTAAGGGCTGATCTTCTAAATAGGTCTCTATCACCCCAGGAATCCTGAGTCCCCATCCCAGCCCCCTACAGGAAGTCACTGTTCTTTAAGCATGCTGCTTGCTATGCTCTTCCCCATTTGTCCCTGCTTGAATCAGTTTTACCCGAGCAATTAATCTTATGGGTTGACCATAGTTCTGTCCCACCTTATGCCCACCTTGCGAGTTTCCAGATTTTCCTCATGTTAGACCCATCTCACCTCATGTTTTTACTCTATAAAAGTCCCTAAAGAAGACAGAGTCCTTGGTAACCTGCTCGGAACTCCTCTATCTCTCAGAAGCTTTCTTTCTCTCAATAAGTTTATTCTGCTCCTAACCTCTGTTGTTCCTAAAATTCATTCTTTGATTTAAAAAAACACGATCTCATACTGGGACATCTAGTAGGTTGGGAGTTTCGTTCCCCATATCAGGACCATATAGAATCCACAAGAAACTTGCAGCCAGGCCCACGGCCCACGGAGAGGCTCTGTACCCTCGGCATGGCCAGGCATGTCCTGGGGGAGCAGAAGGTCACTGTGTCCCTGAGACTCCTTGTTCTCTGCATCAAATGGGAGGATGGTTTCTCCTGGTGTGAGCCAGATCTCCTCAGGGCTACAGATCTGCAGTGTATCCTCCTCCGCATTACCCAGACTTCCTTGGCTGCACCTGGGTCCCCAGTTCAGGAAAGGGCACAGCAATCATGGTCCCGCTAGGAGAAGACAGATGTGGAAATCTAGTTTGTAGGACATTAAAGTTGAGGGACCCCATGCTGTCCATTAGCTGAGGTTGGGTAATCTGGAAGGGGAAGAGGTTTATTTCACAGTTCTACAGATTAAGGAGCCTAGCTCTGGCTTCTGCTGGGCCCCAGTGTGACCCCAGTGAATGGCACTGCAATGATAGAAGCAGGTGTGGACAGGGACCATGGTGAGGCCAGAGGCCAGAGCACAGGTGAGGCCAGTCCTGCTGTATTACAACTACTCAAAAGAACTAACTCAGCCCACGAGACCAGGGCTACTCTCTTCCCAGGGCAATGTCCCAGGGACCTAGCCACCTTCCACTGGGCCACCTCTTAAAGGTTCTAGCATTGAGCGTTGCCATGAGAGGACCAGGCTTCTGGCACACAAGCTGGGGGACCTATCTAGCACTGACCTGTCCAGCCATGGTAGCAGCAAATTCTCTAACTCAGTCTCTTCCTGGCGCGTAAGTGCAAGGGAAGATTGTCAGGTTCCTTCCCTCTTCAGAAGTGACTTGCATCTGTTCTTGGGCTCATGGCAGCAGCGCCTCAGACTCAGGACTCTGTCCGACCCTCAGCCTCTGGGGTGAGGCTGCCTGGTTGCTCAGGAGCTGTTGCAGCAGCAGTCTGAAGGAGACAGATCTCAGAACAAGACCCAGAGTCCACCGGGGAGTTCCAAGTGGCCCCACTGCCTGTTTGTCTCTGCCCAGCACCTAGAAATCATCTTATCAAGGCAGTTAGCTGCGCCAAACTAGGGGAAAGGTACATGGCCCTGATGACAGAGGGAGGATTCACAAGAATCTCCACAGACCGGAACAGTAGGTTCACATTCACTACACAGCGTGGAGCCCAAGGAGCAGTGGCTGGTCAATTCACAGTCTCCCAGGCTCAGAACTATGCGTGGATACAAAGAACTCTCATGGATTCACTGGCCACGAGTCTGCAGGAGTCAGAGTCCTGGAGAGATGGTTAGGATGCACTGTAATGCTAGATGGTCCCTAGGTCGAAGGTCAGGCAGTGTGGCTCAGCCTTGCTCTGCAGTTCAGGCTCCCTTTAGGGACACCACAACCCGATAGGGCAGGCAGGACTGGCCTCCAGGCAGGACCAAGGATGCCACACCATGAAAAGCCATCTGTGCTAAGGATAGATACCCACCCCCTCGGGCCAGCAGGGGGATGGGAAGATCAGTGAAAGTTCAGGCCTGGCTTCTGGACTTTCACTCTGGAGCGTGAGAGCCCTGAGTCCAGCCTGGCTCCTCCCACCCATTCTCAACCTCAGCCTCTACCTGGTTCAGGGCTGGGGAAGGACAGCAAGGATGAGGACAGGTGCTGCTCTTGAAAGCCACCACCCACAGCACCCCATCTACATGCAGCTGGTCCCTCTGCACATTGAGGATGGGGCTGAAAGAGAAGCAGAGAGATGCCTCAAAGTGACAGATGTCCAGAAAACCCAGGATGCAACATGCTGGATTGGCGTGCTCATGAGCATGCATGTGTCACACGTGTGGGAGGAAGAGACAGATTCTGAAGTGCCTGCTGCGGTATCTGGAAACAAGACCCATTCTTGTAACCAGTGCAAGCTGCCAACCAAGGAAGCTGATGGGCCACAGAGAAAGAAGGGAGACGCAACAATAGCCCAGAGGGAGCAGTCAGCCTGAGCCTTGACGTGGAATGAGCTCCTCTCAGAGCTACTCCGATATGATGGGAAGAGACGAACGGGCATGGGGCAAAAAAGCCACGTTTTAACTTCCCACAGAGAATAAACAGCTTCTATGGTCCTAACTCTAGCTATAGCCACATAAGCTGATTATTTTGAAATATGGGGGTAATATCAGAAAAAGGAATTGAAAGAAGGAAGTAAGATTGCAGGGTCAAGGGAAGGCTAGGGCTTGGCTGATAATTATTTTTGTACTATTTTATTTTAACTATATGCTCTTTTGCCAAACATTTATTTATTTAATTTTGCACAGGCTCTTGCTCTGTTGCTGAGGCTAGGCTTGAACTTGGGACCTTCCTGCCTTGGTCTCTCAAAGTGCTGTGATTACAGGTGGGCACCATCACACCTCATTTAAACATTTAATATTTTCAGTAAAGTGAATCAGGTTTTGCATTTGTTGTTTCATTTCTAGAACAACTATTAACTCCATGGCCTCAGGCAACACATGTGCGTGAGGAGGAAGTGTGTGGCCAAGCCAGTCCCCTGCTCTGAGGGTCTTGCAGGCTGCAGGCGCAGTGGGCTGATTCCCTGGTTTTTCATCGAAGGCTCTGGAGTACAGTCAATTCCCAGCCTCCCTCAGCTTGGAGTACCCAGTTCCTTGTGCTTATGGGGTGAGGGTGGGGGCGGTGCTCTTCCTGCCTCCCTGCCCATATGGCTGCCCTGGCTCATGGAAGGGTGCAGCTTGGCTTCTTGGTTCTCCTTCCGGCCTGCATGGCTGCTGCTGGCTCATGGGAAGGCACAGGTTGGCTTCTGGTTCTCCTCCTGGCCCCTGACTGCTGGTGGCCTCCAGCAGTCACAAGTCTGAGGTCTCTGTTTCCTTGTTGGTTGTCACACATTGTCTGCCCTTGGTTCCCAAAGATCTCTAGTTCTTACAAGGAGACCCTCAACTTCAAAACCAGCAATGGGCCACCAGGTCCTCTAGCCCTTGAAAATCTCTCTGCTGTCCCCTTCTGCAGCATTTTCCCGACCTATCCGTCCTTCCTTCTCCAGATGACTCATCT